TGTTGCAGTAAAAAAAAAAAAAAAAAAGCCTTAGAGTTAGAGCCCTCATGGAACCAGATGGATATAATAGCCTTAGGGCCTACCCCTTGTGGGGGGGGACTCGGGGGAGAGCAAAAGACAATGCAGAGGCCATAGTTCTGGGAGGGTCTCCGAAAGTTTGGAAATGAGAAACAGGGGGCATTTGGACAAGATGGAGACTCCAGGACATGAAAATTGTTAAGAACAGCTACGAAGCATTTTCCCATTTTCTTCTTTTCTTTTTGTCGATGACCTGTTTACGTGATGTTCGTTTCGAGGAAATGAAAGCAAGTAGAATGAATCTTGATAAAATTGTGGATAAATGCATATTATGGAGTCGCCGAGTGTAGCGTCCACCAGCAAGGCATGAACTCTGGCAGGGGCCTTTCACAGGTCCTGTTGCAGAAAGAAGAATAAGCCACCCAGTCTCAAAGAAGAAAGAGGGCAATAAAGCAGACAACAACCTTTCCATTTCAGCTCCATTTCAGCCCTCTAATCCTCCCAATTCTCCTCCCTCTAAAGAGGGAACATGAGCATGTAGACGCCAAACGGTTTTTGTCTTGATTTGCTCTGCTCGCTGCCAGACGGAAATCGTTGAGCTTATCGATATCGGACTTATGTCCACGTGTCTTGTGTCGCCTTTACCGTCTTTTCTTTCTCGAAGAAATTATTTGTCTTAGTTGGAAAAACACACCGCCTGGCCGGCTCTTCCTACTCCACACACCCTGCTCGTCCTCGTCTTTCTCATCATTACCATCATCATCTTCTTCATCTCCTCGTTCACACTTGGCACCTCTTTTCTTTCTCTCATCCATCTTCATAGGCATCTTGGATTCGCAGACCACACTTCGGATCTCATGCTGCTATGACATAAACCCGTGTACCGAATCTCTGGAAGCAACCATCAATAGCCGTGTCTCATAGTCGAGCTTCAACTTTCAAGGATTGCTGAAATGGCTTGCGAGCTTGCAATACCCTGCAAGGAAAAAAAAAAAAAAAAAAGCAGCATAGAACAGGGGCACCAAAATGCAGTCGTTAGAATTCGCGGGAAAAATCACCTCCAATAGCAGGGTGCCCTTTGCGGGAAAAGATGGGGGGG